CTGTAAAAATGCAACATCTAAATATTATTTTCTACTTTTTTTTTTTTTTCCATAAAACCACAGCAGAATGACTCGCTAACTTATCCAGCATATGTTTTACGCAGCGGATGCCCTTCCAGCTGCAACCCATCATTGGGAAATATCCGTACACACTTATTCACACACACATACACCATGGACAATTCATCTATACCGCATGTCTTTGGGCTTGTGGGGGTAACCCGAGCACTCGGAGGAAACCCACATGAACACGGGGAGAACATGCAAACTCCACACAGAAACGCCAACTGACCCAGTCGAGGCTCGAACCAGCGACTTTCTTGCTGTGAAGCAATCATGCTACCCCCTGCGCCAAATTTGGCAATTAAAAAGTGAAAATCCTGTCATTTTCTGACCATTTTAGTAGTTTTGATCGAGACTGAGGTTGATCAACAAATTTATGCAAAAACATGTGAAAAATATTAATCTGGTGCAATTTTTACTGCAGTTTAATTCAGTGGATGTTTTATTACAAGTAGCACATTTGCACAGAGTTGAAGTTTTTTATTTATTATTTTTTTTATTAAAGCATTTTCCTAAAATGTATGTCAAAATAATATTCCAAAAATCATTCAAATACAGATAAAACTATGTCCAAATTAAGACTCAAAATCACCACAGAGTGGTTGAAAACATCCCCACCAGCACATAAGGGTGAAGATGAAAAACCTTGATATTAATAGAGCACATTTGTGTGTTAACAACTAAAGCTAATAGAATGTCTAAAACAACATCTTTTTAAAAGATATTTTTTATTTAGGAAAATGATACTTTAATCTCTACTCTATATTCAACAAATCCGTCTATACACTTTTATTATAAATCATTATTTTGTGACGTTTTTATGAATCAAAAGTAAAAATGACCGTACAATTTGGGCATAAATGCATTCCTCTTATTGTACTGTGTGGATTAGTGTTGCTTATTTACAAGTTGGAAGGTTTTATGATGCATGTTGTTGTTCATTTAATCTTTTAGTGTTGTATGTTGCTGATGGCGCTGTGTGAACAATACTGTGATTTGTCTTTGGATAACTTTAAATCAATAATGTGGCTATTCTATTTTGCAGCGTGTGTTATTTTATAATAATAAAGCTTAATATCAGCTTCGTTAGTGTATATAAGCAGTATTATGGTTTGGACCATGTACAAATAAATTATTGTGGTTTCTAGTGCATGCTCTCATATTCGTAAAGTTTGTTTATTAGATTGATTTGTTTTTGAAAGAAAAAAAGTCATTCACAACAATGCTAATTGCATTTAATTGCTCTCCTAATTACTCAAAATGTTTAATTGTACTTTCACAATGTCTGAAAATAAATCATCTTTAGACTGCCAAAACATTGTTTATTACTGCTATGTCAACTTTGACGTATAAAGACAGCGTGTCAGTGAATTTTAAGAAAAGAATTTCTTTTTTTTTTTGTCTCCCCAATGATATGTCCTCTTTCTCAAACAATTTTTATCGCCTGCTTTCAAAGTTCATTGATATTCGAGTCATCTGCCCGTGTTTTACTTTCTGTGAAGACATAAAAAGACTATTTTCTTTGTGCAAGTGTCAGTTTTAGATGTCTTTTGAAGCATACGTTGCATTTGTAAATGCAGAATTGGCCAGATCTTTCATTTTGACTTATTCATTGTTGTTATAATGCGTAATTTAATGCAACCACATTATAGATAATTAATTCAAGGATGAGTTTTCTGTTAATATAGAATAAAAACACCATGCTTTGGTTGCAGATTTTTCATAAAGTGTTCATTTTTCATAGGAAAAATGCTTCATTTAAAACTGCATCTCGGTTTAAGGTGAATAGTCCTCGAAAGTGACATTTTAATACAAATAAGTGGTTTAACATGGCATAAGCTCTCTTTGATGCATTCTAAACATCTGGCAGAACATAAAATGGGTCATTACAATGAAATGGGTGCTTTTTCCAATTAGATTAGGAGGTTTTTAACACAGCATGAAATGGAAAATCATCTTTATTGTGACTTATATCTGTGTGAAACGGCTTCTAGAACCAGAATATCTTGTGCAGGGCGGGACTTGGTTTGTGTCCAGTAGGAATTGATTGGCTTATTGTGCTTTAATTACTGTGATCTCATGTGAGTGACAGCTTGCTGGAGGGATTGTTATTGGCCAGCACTAGCATCAGTGCACACAAAATCAGAAAGAGACATTGATCTGAAGGAAAAGATATTGCTCTTTTTGTAATTTATGAAACATTTTGAAATGATTTATTGAAGGCACCCAGTATAATACAATTCAATGATAGTTTATGTAAATTAAAAAAAGTGTCATGCATATTTAGGACAAGAGTAATTCGGTGGAATATATCACTTTATTTAGGGATCACAGTTCAGGCCTAAAATACTATTTAGATGCCATTTTAAATCTTTATACTTTGCACATGTAAATAAAAACGCTAGCTTTTATTTTAATCATTTAAAACAGTGGTCCC